TTTCTCACCAACCAGCACCCCCTCCCACCCCCGGCCCCGGCCCACACACCAGGCCCCTGGGCTGGGTTATTTCACACGCTCGGGCCTGCCTGCCGCCCGCTGCTGCCTCCTCTCCTCCTTCTCTTCATGGTCGTGTGCTGGGCCTGGCCGCTCCGCCGTCCGCCATCTTGTCATCGCCTCGGCCATTACCAACATGGCGCCCGGGGTTAGAGGGGCGGGGCCTTCATCCCCCACCCCATCGCAACTCCCGACACGTCAGAAAAGGGGCGAAACCTGTTTTGAGGCTCGTCTTATGTCGCCAACCCTCCCCAACGAAGAGACCGAAACGGCCGGTGTTGGATTGGCGGGGCGGGTGCTTACGGCCGCGGAACAGGGTTTCGCCTCCTCTCTCTTGCTGTGTCCCACCCCGCACCTTCCTCCTTTCCACCTCCACCGCCTTCAATGTGACGCGTACCCCCACTTCCGCCAACATCCGGCGCGCACACGGCGAAGGGTCGCCTCGACGTCACCCGGCCGCCGCCAGCGCGTCCCGGGGTAGGGCGGGGCGCGATGACGTCACAGCGCCGGCTTCGGCGAATCAGCGTGCGCGCGTCCCCAAGGTTGGAAGGGAGAGGGGACTTTGCCTCACCACTACCACCACCCACGCGCAAGCGAGGGCGCGCCCGGAAGCGACGGCGTGACGTACGCCCACCTTCCAATACCACGACCTCCATCCCCCGCACAAGGGCCGGCGGACGTGTTGACGTCACTGGGGCGGCTCGCGCGACATGTTTGCGGAAAGGACGGTTGGTCGCGCTGACGTCACCCGGCTCCGGTCTGGGGAGGCGGGTGTCGTCACGCGTCTGCTTTCACGACCCTTCAGGGACGGGGACGGGAAAGAGACGCGCTGACGTCAGAGCCCGGAACGCGCCGGCCGTCCGTTTTTGAACGCGGCAGACGTTCGACGACCGTTACTCCCACCCCCACGTGACCTGTCCCCGACTCCCTTCCTGCCCAAGGCCCAATCTTTGGCCAAGGCGCCATCTTCCTTGACATCTTTACATTCCCACCGTCCCTCTGTTCCCTTCCCTTACCGCATCCATCTCCTCACCAATATCATCACCCCTCACACACATTCATTTCTCTGACCAAACCCCCTCCCCCTCAACAACACACCAGATCCCCAGACACAGCCCGTGACCAACCATTGGCCAAGGCGCCATCTTCCTTGACATCGTTCCATTCCCACCCTCCCTTACCGCACTCACCTCCTCACTAATAACACCCCTTATATACCCAACACATACACACACACTCACTCACACTTCTCTGACCACCCCCGCCCAAAACACACCTGACCCCAGACACAGCCCATGTCCAACCTTGGCCGAGGTGCCATCTTTGATATCTTTCCATTCCTACCGCACACTACCCGCCCCTGCTGTTGACACACACACCCACTCTTCATTAACATCATCAGCTCTCAATCCCACCCCCACCGCGCACACACACACTCACACACATTTTATCACCAGAGACAGCCTGGGCCAACCTTGGACAAGGCACCAGCTTCCATTCCCACCCTCATCTTCCCCGCTTCACACACCCCTAGACTCTCACACCTGCATGCACACACATACACACACACACACACACAGAGTGCCATCCTCCTGGATATCTTTCCATTCCCACCCCCTCACCTCTCCACACACACACACACAACACCTGCCCCTTTCATAACACCATCATTGTCCCCCTCCACCCACAGCACACACTTCCCTGACCCCCTCCCCACTTCCCAAACACACACACACCACACAGCTGCGTCAACCTTGGCCAAGACACTATCTTTTTTGACATCTTTCCCTCCCACCCCGTTCCCTCCCACCATTACACATGCCCTTCCCAACCCCCTTCAACAGATGACACGCACCCTATCCCAACACTGTCACCCTGCCCACACACCCCCACACCCACCCCTTTGTCAATAGCATTGCGCCACCGGAGACAAACACACACATACGCGCATATATTCCCGTAGCCCCCAACACATAGACACAGCCTTCCCTAACACTATCACTTCAAACCCCACTCTGCATTTACCCCCCCACACACACACACCCCTCCAACCATAACGAACAGCAACGTCACATCCATCCTTCCCCAACACCAGCACGTTGACCCCCCACCACATCCTTCCACATCAGCATCATCTCCCCACACCCTTCCCTAACACACTACTGCCCCCCCCCGCCCCCGACAGACACTGATCCCTAACATCACTACCTCCACAGACACTATTCGCTACCCCTTTCCATCTCTCACAAACGCACACACATTTCCCTAACACTCCCCATCCCCCCACCCTTCTCAAAGCCTCAACATGTTCACAGATGCACGCCTTCCCCAAAACACCCTCAGGCCGATTCGGCTATTGCCTGGCAACGAGTTGTCACCCACGCAGCGATGGGAGGCCGAGCTGGACAAGATGGAGCCGCTTCTTCACAAGGAATCTGTCTCGGGTAAGGGGTGGGGCGGTTGTTCTGGAGGTGGTGCAGTTTGGTAAATGTCAACGCCAGGCGAAATAACAGTGGGCTGTTCAGTCACTGTGCACTTTCAAAATGTTCACAGCTCATAGTGGGCTCACACCGCACAGAAATAGACCCTTCGGTCCAACTTGTCCGTGCCAACCAGACATCCTAAACTAACCCAGCCCCATTTGCCAGCATTTGGCCCATAAACCCCTTCCTATTCATGTCTCCATCTAGATGCCTTTTAAATGTAAATGTACCAGCCCCCACCACGTCCTCTGGCAGCTCATTCCATACATGCACCACGCTCTGCATGAAAGAAGTTGCCCCTTGGGTCCTTTTCATGTCTTTCCCCTCTCACCTTAAACCTATGCCCCTCTAGTTTTGGACTCCCCCTACCCTGGGGAAAAGACCTTGGCTATTCTTCACCTTACCCACGCCCCTCATGATTTTATAAATCTCAATAAGGTCACCCCTCAGCCTCCGACACTCCAGGGAAAATAGCCCCAGTCCATTCAACCTCTCCCTACAGCTCAAACCCCGGCAACATCCTTCCAAATCTTTTCTGAGTCCTTTTGAGTTCATAACATCCTTCCTTTGGCAGGGAGACCAGAATCACACGCAGTCTTCCAAAAGTGGCCCTAACCAATACAGCAGCAACATGACCTCCCAACTCCTACACTCAATGCACTGACCAAGTGTACCAAACACCTTCTTCACCGCCCTGTCTACCTGCAACTCCACTTTCAAGGATTTATGTACCTGCACCCCAAGCTCTCTCTGTTCAGCAACACTCCCCAGGAGCTTACTGTTAAGTGTATAAGGTCCTGCCCTGATTTGCCTTTCCCAAAATGCAGCACCTCACGTTTATTGATTCGATAAATTCACGTTGATCTCAGCGTTGGTGGGGAGGGAGCACCTACTCCATCTTGCGGGAGTGGGAGGGAGATGTTGGGGTGGGTGTGCAGGGAAGGATAGAGAACCACAGGCAGCAGCAAAGGTTGAAACTTTTCAACTTTCCAGGCTTTGAAATCGTGGCTAGAGGAGAAATAACTTGCAAGGATGTCGGGGAAGCTGCATTGAACCTGTCCCCTGCTTGAAGGTATGGTCTCTAAACTGTCCTGGGCTAATAGTATTGCTTTTCAATTTTCCCAATTGCTCCCGCCATCAAAAACAAAAATTTCTGGCCATGTTTGAGGTCTAGCACCCTCTTTTAAATTAAATCCCTCCTCATTCTGCCCTTCATGGCTATACTAGCCCCTTGTGGGTAGGTGGGACCATACACCTTCCCATTGGGCGCACCCTCAAAGTTGCCTACTGTCCAACAATAACCCCCCCATCCGGATCTTTTTATTGGTCAGCCGTGTCGCCAATCAACGAAACCCTCCACGACCATTGGTCCAAGTGGGCAGGTAGCCTCTTTCGGATTGGCCAAGACCAGATTAGTGCTGTGTGATTGGGCAGGCGGGCGTGTCAATCAAAGATGGGAGCGGGTGCTGATTGGCTCCTTGTCCTGCCCAGGCAACGGAGGGACTTCCTGGTGTTGCATTCCTGAAGGAAGCAGCCAGCTGCAAAGGCAAAAAAAAAATTGCAGTTTTCTGAGATGCAAGATTTCTTTATCCTTTGGTTAAAAGTTTCCCCTTGGCCCCAGTTTCTGGGGGAAGTTCCTGTCTAATGCAAAAGCTCAACTTGCACGGAATCTGTACAGGATACAGCTTCCAGGTCTGGGGAGGATTGAGGCTTTCTCAGGGCCAAGCAGCCAACTTAATTGCTAATGCTTGGTGGTAGGAAGGAGAGCACAGTCCAGGATTGACCAGGTAACATCCTTGATGTTTGCAAATGCATTATGAGCCCAGAGAATGCTGGATTATTCATGGGCTTGGAGAGCAGTGCATTAATCTTTCAGGACAGTGACCTTCTCTCTCTCTCTCTCTCTCTCTATAAATGCTGTCATCCTAACTGGGTATTCCCAGCTGGTGTGTTTTTTCACATCCATTCCCAGGAGGTGAGTGTCACTGACAAGGTCAGCCTGTCCTGAACTGTCCCTTCAGAAGGGCGGTTGGTGGGGATGTGGGGAAAATGTGCTCCCTTCCCGAACTGCAGCAGTCCCTGTGTTATAGGTATACCCATGGGACTGTTAGGGAACAGGTTCAGGGATTTCACTCCATAGTGTTCCCTCAGCGCTGAGCCTCCGACAGCGCGGCGCTCCCTCAGCGCTGAGCCTCCGACAGCGCGGCGCTCCCTCAGCGTTGAGTTTCCGACAGCCGACCGTCTAAGGTGACTGGTGGAACAATTCATAACTGGAAATAAAGGATATAGTTGCACTGTGTTTCATTAGCCAGAATCTGGGGTGAGGAATAGTATGTTTCTTCAGGTTGAAGGGAAATTTGATGCAGAGTTTCATATAACTTGGTACATATGCTTTCGTATGTTAACATCCTCCAGCCCCCTACACCCCCTCCCTATCTCTGTCACCTCCTCCAGCCCCCTACACCCCCTCCCTATCTCTGTCGCCCCCTCTAGCCCCTACACCCCCTCCCTATCTCTGTCACCTCCTCCAGCCCCTACAACCCCCTCCCTATTACCGCTACCTGCTCCAAACTCCCCCACCACCCCTACCCCAAATGCCCCTCCCTAAGCTCATTGGACTAATCGACAGTTTTAATAATGAAGTTATGTGTAGTCTTTTATCTTTTTCATTGAGTACCAAAGCCAAACTGCCAAATCCTTTCAAAAACCCTGGATAGGCCTAAATTGGTCACTTGCTACTTCCAGTTTCAGGCCCCTGGTTTTGGATAGTGCCTGGAGAGAGAGATTTACCCGAATGGGCACTTGGGACAGGTGGGTGGTCCCTAGTTTAGCTGGAGAGTCTGGAAGCAGATGGAAATTGTTTTCCTCAGAGCAGACAAGGTTCAGGAGGAGATTGACTCTAGGTGTTTGAGATCAGGAAGGGGTTTTTGATCAACTAGATGAGGAGAGACTGTGTTCTCAGGAGCAGAACTGTCAGGAATGGTTTGAGGCACACAGATTGAAGGCCATCGGTCACCAGGGTGGTTAGATGAGGCATAATGTGTTGAGCTGCGGTGATCAGCAAATGGTTGTGTGAAGGGCAGTCAGTAAGAATTTCCAAAGCAAGGGGTTCACATAAAGTTGAGAGGGAGGATAGAACATGGCTGGGATGGAATGAATTGACTAAGTCCAACAGAGATCCAGCACAGAGACGAGGGGCTGAACAACCTCTTCTTATGCTGGATCTTTCTCTGGAAGGTCACGAGGGTTGGGCTGATGAGTCCCAAAGGCAGGGAGGAAGAGATCTGACCGTGGTCCCCACTCCTGTTGGTCAGATCTCTGACCAGTCATGTGTGTCTGTTACTCACAGCAGCCCCATTGTCTCTGTTAATTCAATCATCGCCCTCCCATTCTGATGAGGGGGGATCTTATCTCCAATCTCCAAACTCAATCAGTTTGACTGGGATTGTACGCACTGGTGACCCAGCACGATCCTCTGCCATTGGGCCAACACTGGCATTGAACCAAAAGCTCAGAACTCAGGGGAACTGTAACCATGCGTATGTATCTCTCAGCACCTCCTGCACCCAACTTCGCAAGAGCCCTCTGTCCCTGGGGGAGTGCAGATCGGGACGTCTGTGTTAGGTTGCTGGGAACACTTTGGGAATTCAGACTTGGAGCATGTATTTCTGTGCGAGTGTGTGTGTGTAAGGAATAGCTCATTTCAACCTGCTGTCGCTCTCACCGCCCTTGGTCAGCGCCGAGGGAGCTCTGTGCTGTCGGAGGGTCAGTGCCGAGGGAGCGCCGCACTGTCAGAGGGTCAGCGCTGAGGGAACTCTGTGCTGTCAGAGGGCTGGCGCCGAGGGTCAGCGCCGAGGGAGCTCCGTGCTGTCGGAGGGCCGGCGCCAAGGGAGCTCCGTGCTGTCGGAGGGCCGGCGCCAAGGGAGCTCCGTGCTGTCGGAGGGCCGGCGCCAAGGGAGCTCCGTGCTGTAGGAGGGCCGGCACCGAGGGAGCGCCGCACTGTCGGAGGGTCAGCGCTGAGGGAGTGGGCACTGTCGGAGGGTCAGCGCTGAGGGAGCGCTGCACTGTCGGAGGGTCAGCGCTGAGGGATTACCTGAATGCTAGACAATGTTGAAACTGCCTCCCTGTCAAATGCATGTGTCACCCAGCCCCTCTGCTGGTGTGATGTATCCTGGGCTGCAGTGTTCATCCTCCGCTAGCTATTTCGAAAGAAACCTGATCCTGTCCTCTGGGTTCTGAAGAAGGGTCTAGGCCCGAAACGTCAGCCTTCCTGCTGCTCTGATGCTGCTTGGCCTGCTGTGTTCATCCAGCTCTACACCTTGGTATGTCAGATTCTCCAGCATCTGCAATTCCTGCTATCCTTGTCCTCTGGGAGTTTGCGTGCTGGAGTTGGCTGTCAAAGCTTCCGATGCAGCAAACAGAGGGTGCACGTGCCAGTTGATGGTCCTTGGCATGACCCATTGCCAGTAGAAGCCTTTTCAAAATGTAAGTTTCCTTCCTTGGGCTGCTGGAGGGAGCTTCCCAAACTCTCCCACGGTGTGTTCGGTTCCAGATTTCCCCCCGGTGGCTTTGGCTAGACCAACCTGACCTGACCTCCCACTGTGTTCTCAAAATGTTGCTTTAATTAAGAAGGCAAATGGAATGTTGTCCTTTGGTGCTAGAGGGATGGAGTTTAAAAGCCGGGAGGTTTACAGGGTGAGGCCTCACCTTGTGTACTGTGTACAGTTTTGGTCTCTGTGAAAGGACACACTGGCGCTGGAGGGTTTGCAGAGGAGGTTCACTAGGTCGATTCCGCAGTTGAGAGGGTTGTCTTACGAGGAGAGATTGAGTCGAGTGGGACTATGCTCGTTGGAATTTAGAAGAACAAGGGGGGGATCTTTTAGAAACATATAAAATTATGAAGGGAATAAATAAGACAGAAGCAGGGAGGTTATTTCCACTGGCGTGTGAAACTTAGAACGAGGGAGCGTAGCCTCAAACTAAGGGGGAGCAGATTTAGGACTGAGCTGAGGAGGAACTTGTTCACCCAATGGGGTGTGAATCTGTGGAATCCCCTGCCCAGCGAAGCAGTTCTACCTCGTTTTTAAGGCAAAGATGGATTTTTGAACAGCGAAGGAATGAAGGGTTATGGTGAGCGGGCGGGTAAGGGAGCTGACTGAGACCACGAAATAGTTCAGCCACGATCCTATGGAATGGATGAGCATGCTCGACAAGCCCAGGTGGCCTGCTCCTGCTCCAATTTCTCAGGTTGTCGTGTTCTTCTGTTCCAGTTTCCAGCTTCAGTCCGTTCTCTCGGGATTCTTCGCAGGAAAACATGACCCGGGATTTGAGACAGGAGGAGGAGGTGGCGGCCAGTGGCTTCTATCAGAAATATAATCCCAAGGAGGTGATTGGAAGGTAAGGTCCACCCCATGGTGTGTGAGCAAGTGTGGGAGAGAGAGCGAGTGTGGGAGAGAGAGCGAGTGTGTGTTAATGACTGTAACTGCACACGCTAGTGAGTGCATGGTGAATATGTACATACGTCGTGATCAATGTTTGTGATATGTTACTAGTAGTTGGTACTAACGTGGAGAATGATGTTTGGTTTCATGTTTCCAGTTGCATTTCTATATTGTAAGTTTAGAAGGAGGAAGATATAGTTTATGGTTTAATTAGAGTCATACAGCTCGGAAACAGACCCTTCCGCCCAACCCGTCCATGCCGACCCAGATATCCTAAATTAACCTAGTCCCATTTGCCAGCATTTGGCCCATAAACCCTTCCTATTCATGTCCCCATCCAGATGCCTTTTAAATGTTGTAATTGTACCAGCCTCCACCCACTTCCTCTGGCAGCTCGGTCCATACACGCACCGCCCTCTGCATGAAAAAGTTGCCTCTCATGTCCCTTTTATATCTTTCCCCTCTCGCCTTAAACATATGCACCTCTAGTTTTGGACTCCCCTACCCTGGGGAAAACACTTGGCTCTTCACCCTATCCATGCCCACGTGATTTCAGCTTCCGACCACTCCAGGGAAAATAGCCCCAGCCTATTCACCCTCTCCCTATATCGCAAACCCTCCAGTCCCGGCAACGTCCTTGTAAATCTTCTTTGCGTCCTCTCAAGCTTCACATCTCTCCGACAGAGGGCGACCAGAATTAGACGCAGTATTCTAAAAATGGCCTCACCGATGTCCTGTACAGCCACAACATGACCTCCCAACTCCAATTGTGTGTGCATTCTTGTGACTGGGATATCCAGAGATTTTTGTTCTCGCGCATTTAAATGAGCCCTTGAGAATCCTTAGGGTCAATAATTCCAAGTATTCGGGGCAAGAAAGGCTTAAGACAACAACGAAATGTCATTGTCTAGCGACAAGAGCTCATAATGTTTCTGATTTTGTGTTAAGAAGAAGCCAGGCCATGTGCAAGTTTCATTGAAAGGGGAAAAATAAATTTCTATCAAATGATGTGCTGGTGGTTTAACAGTCTCTGGAACAGTCAGAACGCGAGAAAAGGCGCCCTTGGTGGCAAAGAAATGGAAGACTAATTAGGATGTCGAGTCTGAGGAACACGTTATGTATTAAGTGATCTTAGTTAGCTTGTTGACTGGCCTCGGGAAGACATGTTCATGAAATAAAATAGGAGTGAATGCGGAGATTTGATGAAGATAAACCGATTGCAGTTGTGCTAGCTGAGAAAAAAGTTTTAGCGTGGGATCCCACACTGAGGTTTGAGCATCACTACAGTTGTTGTAGAGGATGGAACAGTTGAATGCCTATTTCCAATTTCTGTAGCGAGTTTGTTACAGAGAGTTCTTCAGAGGTGTGACAAAGTTTGTGCAATGAACGTTGTTCTGTTGGTAAAAATACATCGATAGCCTCTTGCAAATAGGCATCACTACTGGGCCAGTCCGAGCCCAGCCAGCTGGAAACACGTTGGCGTGTACGTGTGTGTTTGAGTGGATGTGTGCTTCAGGCTAGGACAGGACAGGGCCCGGATATGTCCAACACAACAGCTGAACCTCCTGAAGTCACCTTGACCTGCTCGCATTCTCCACCAGGGGGGTCAGCAGTGTGGTCCAGAGATGCATCCACAAGAGGACGGACATGGAGTACGCTGTGAAGATCATCGAGGTGACCGACGAGAGCATGAGCCCGGACCAGCTGGACGAGGTCCGCAGATCCACCCAGAAGGAGATCGAGATCTTACAGGTGGTCTCCGGACATCCGAACATCAGTAAGGAACCGCGCTTAGTGTGTGCTGGGGATCGAAAGTCGGCGTACGTGGGCAAAGCAGGACTCGGACCTGCGCTGTCCGAGAGCCTGGGCGTGACCTTGTGTCTCCCGGCGTAGGGCCGGCGCCTGGGCGTGACCTTGTGTCTCCCGGCGTAGGGCCGGAGCCTGGGAGGCGGGATCGCGGCCACCCGGCGTGGGGC